CAGAAACCTCATTCCTAGTTTACTGACAGAAATGTTAAGTGACAACAGTCCTTACATGTAAAACATCAACTATTATCAACTATGCACATGTAAAACATCAACTGTTAGACCAGTATGCTGATATCTGAACTATATTTTCTTAAGAAAGAAGTTACTAAATAACATAAGTCACAATTGCATATCTCTTTTTACAGATGAGTAGGGGCTCACAGAAATTTTTCTCAAGCTGACTCAGTCTGGATTAGTAAAGTTTCTCCTGCAATGACTAGCAAGGGGTTTAGATGAACAGAACTTCCATGATTTTAGTTTGCAATGTTACTGCTGTTTTTAAAATGATTTTTTTGTTTGTAATTTTTTTTAGAACCCCCAAGAACCACTTTTAGTATTAACTATCTACTTGCTTTTTCTAACCAGGTATTAAAGTGAAATTTAGAACCCAGGAGCCTGATGGTTTGATTTTTTTCTCTGCATCACCTGGCAATCAGGAGGAATTCATTGCACTGCAGCTGAGGAATGGACGTCCTTACTTTCTTTTTGATCCACAGGTACAGCAAAAGACAAGGATCCTATAAAAATCACTTATATAATTTATTCCAGTGCTTTTTACATAATTATTCTTGGATTTTTGGTTCTGAGATTTTTTTCTTTGTTGATTGTTTGGGTGTTTGGTTGGTTTGTTGGTTTCCTATGGGTTTGTTTTGGTTTTAAATTTAATTCATGGTTTGGTTTCCTATGAGTTTGTTTTGGTTTTAAATTTAATTCATGCAAGTTAATTTGCTTCTTAGAACCCTTATGTAACTAGAGATTTTGGGGAGAGGAAAACTGAAACACTAATGCTTTGCTCAGCTATTGTTATGCATGCCACAATTCAAGAATTTATTTTTAGCATTTTTATAGGTTGTGGGTTTTTTGTCAGTACCACCAAACACCACTATGGCTTAAAATATCAAGATTTCAAAGATGGGCAGAACTAGGTTTTGAATTAGTGAATAAAAATAATGTATTTTTAGTCAATTGTTTTTAAGCCTCTCATCTGGAGACTTTGTCTTTTTCTGCTGAAATCAGTGTATTGCCATTAATGTGATAAGAATGACCACAGTAAAGACGTAAGTAATGAGGGAAGTATTATCAACAAAAGGAAAAATAAGGCCACATTCCTTGCATTTCTGTTTGGGTATTTTATGGTTTTTCTGCACCCCAAAATGGGATCTCCTCATGAAATTAAAAAATTTTGCATTTATATTTCATAACTATGCAGAAAACTGTAAGATATTTTCCAATAATATTGACACGTATTCTAATGCTATTGCCAGAATGTGGTATCATATGTATCCAGATATGTGCATCCTATTTGTAAGGTGCTGCTGCCTCAGTGTTGCTGGAAGGTCTGTTCTGGTTGCTCTGTCATCCATATCATATGTCAGATCTTAGTGTCTAATTCTGTGTCTGGCATTGTGTCTCCAGGGGCTTGAATAGAAATGCTTAATGATATAAAATGGTGAGCATTTAGAGATGTGCCAACTTAGTGCTAACCTCTGTCTCCTGAACTCTGCCATGGTCCAGGCACTGCTGCTCTGTGTTGTGCAGCAGTGAAGGTCCTCTTAAGCTTTGGAGCATCTGCAGAGCATGATGCTGCACAGAGGCTAGCTTGATGTGACTCCTATGCTAGAAAATATTCAATCTGCTTCTGACCCCAAGATATAAATTTCTGTTATTCTCACTGCATTTACACACAGGCTTTCTCTTATTTTACTTTGTTGCAAACTGAATCAGTGTATACTTCAATTTTTGGGACCATGCTCGATGTTGTTAATGTTGCCCTCATCCACACTTTAATAGGGACTAGTTCTGTTTTAACTCTTTTACACTTATACTTTCATTTAACTGAAAAGGAAATTCTTTTCCCCTTTGCAAGGTCTTCCTAGGTGTAATAGATTTGTTGTTGTTGTTGTTTAGTGGAAGTGTATATCTTTCAACTAGCATTTTAGTGCTTCAAATACTATTGCTAGCCCTTGTGTTGCAGATTTGCTTCTTTTGAAATAGCTTTATGTCGGCTTGGTTGGACTAATTTCCTAGATGGCATTGTATTTGTTTGGATCCACAGTATTTGGGGAATGGGGAGGGAAGGGGGTCAGATGAGAGTGTGTCTGCTTTGAGGCTTTTCTTTTACTTTCTTCCTTTTTATTTTTCTGCCCCCCTCCTTTTTTCCCTGTCTCTTAGTTAAAAAAGTAAAAAAAGCAGACCTCATATTCATTCCCTAGAGCTTCTCAGTTCAGCTAATATCTTCAATATTTACTATCTTGAAATGTAACATACTACTTGCTTATGAATGTATCCCTTGAATCAGGCAACTCTGTCCCCATGCTAATTTTTAGGATGATCACTTCCATATTCCCTCTTGCAAAGCCTAGAATAGCCTATGGTGCTGCTTCAGCAGCTCTATGGAGAAAAAAAAAATCTGTCATTCAAGGCATTCAGGAACAGAGTAGGTCTTAACAGTTGATTTACTAACTTGAAAGCTAATGCTTTCTAATTTCTCATTAATATGTGGAAGAGATTCCTTTACATTCTCAGATTCAGAAGTAGGATACAGTGGCCTATATGAATGTATTTTGTGTAGTATCCTATTAAAAATTTTTTGCCTGTTAAAATTCAGTAATCAAAATTTTCAGTCTTCTGTATCTCTAATATGCTGTGCTGCCCTACTGTCTTTATCTTTGTTTCTCTGTTTTCTACACAGCATCTTTCTTTTTTCTTTTTGTCATGATTTGCTCTTCCTATCCTACAATGTCAGGTGTCATGTTCTGTAGCAGAATTTCTTAATCCTTCATTTGTGCATCACAGTTTGCATTAGTGTGCAAATGCTTTAATTACTTTTTATTGACATCATGTGGTGCCTTAACCAGGTTCTATGCATTGTTTTCTCTAATTACAATCATGGCATATACAATAAGCATTTATGGCCCTGCCTTCATGCTCTTCTCTTAAAAATTGCAAAATTCTTTTTGATGACAATTGTGTCTCTGCTGCTTTTCATCTGTAGCAGTGTGGTGTAATATTCTGTGCTCCCTTCCAGCTGTGTCCTGTCGCAGGTTAATTATTTTTACCCTTAGTCCCTTTCAGGACGCTGCTATGTATCTTTGCTCATGATCAGCAGTGCGTTTTCTCTTTGTTGTGTCTGCTCTGGGGATAGTCCTGCCAAGTCTTCCTAGTGGGGAGCCTTCAGCAGCCTAGCTTCTTCCTTCGCTAAGTGTTAATTTCAAATCCTTTTCTTCCTGTCCATTCATACTTCTCTGAGCTTTATGTACAACACCATTCATCTGGCTGTTGTCTGACCGTTCCTTTTGTCTCCCTTTTGTGCTGTGTAACTGCTCTTTTTTCCCTCCTAATTGTTTCACTGTCATTCTTTGCAGGTTTCCTCTCATGGTCCAGGAAGCATGAGGTTTTTTTGCTAACAGATGTCTTCCTTAGTCTTGTGTGAACAATCAAATTCTTCCATAGATCTTCCTCCAAACTCAGAGTGTCTGCAAAACTTCAGCTTTCTGTGGATTTTCTTCTTACCATAAAGTCTTTGCATCCACTCCCTAAATTACACAATCAACTCCAGCTAAATTTGTGGTTATCTTTCAGTGGCTACAGGTCATTTTTTTCTTTTTCCCAGGGAAGCACTGAATATTTCATACCAGGTGAAATCAGTAGCAGTAGAAATTTAACACCAATCTGGAGTACCTTTTACCTTAGTGATTAGGACAGCATGAGAATAGAGTATTGAGATTCTTACAGTATGGAGAAAATTGAATCCATCTCTTTCATTTTAGATGATGATCCATTTACTAAACTTCACACCAAAAAAAGAGGAACATGGGTACTTTTCTTGTTGCCTGTGTTGTCTTCTTGGTTGTGCCTTGTTCTTGTCATGCAGAGGCTAAAGTAGCAGGCACAGTCTGTGGGTGAGCTGTTACTCTGCAAAAAAAGGAAGATGGAGAATACTTAGTTATGAGTCCCAACTAGGCCTTACTCCTTGGCACTGGCAGAACTTCAGTACTTGTTCACCTTCTCAGTGGTAGGAGTTTGAGCATTGAAAGAACTTGACTGGGAAAAGTGTAGTTACATCCAGACTTTGGCACCTAAGACAGTATCTTTGAAATTCATGTTTGTGATGTTTCTATGTATTATCCATGTTAAACATCAGCATGAGAGAGCCACAGCGATTCATATTTACTTAGTTATTACTGAGAGCTACCAAATATTAAGACTTATTGTAGGCTCAGCAAAATAATCCAAATTTCAAAATGCATGGTTTCCAAAATTCATGATAAGCCATCTCACAGCAGGGTATTTGAATGTGATCACAGAGTGACTTGGGTAGTTCTGCATAAAATATCATAAAGAGGTCTTCAAGACAATGCATGCTGAACCCTGAACACTCTTTTGTCTCCTCTCCTTCCTTCCACCCAAAATTAAGCACAGGTTAGCACACATGCTTGTGTCGTCCCGGATTAAACTGGTTACAAATAAATGTGGTTTCTGATGTATAAAACTGTTAATTCTCTAGACTGTTGCCAAACATAATATGGAGAACCACTTATTCAGGCACCTGATCTTTAGAATGCAGCATCGTTTGTAACAATTTTAACGCTAACTAAGTACACTTTGATGAGACAGCATTTAATAAAATGCTCATTAATTTCATCATTAGCAAGGGTATGCTAAGAAGTAAGCCAGTTTCTTATGTCACGCCCAATTAGCATCCCATGCTAGTAATCCCATTAGTATTGTTGAATTCACTAATGGAAAAACTAATGGGCATGCTACCAGGGCACATTAATTGGGCATGACACCAGTTCTGGTTTTAATTATTAAACTACGATAATGAAATGTGTGTGTTTGTTAAATATTAAAATGTTGAAATAGGAGAGAAGACAATAAAAAATAGTATATGAAAAAGTGCACATTAGTATGTAAGGATATATAGCTTTGTACTGTTATCATGGAGTAGAGGACTGCTGTACAAACTGTCTCAGCATCAAGATTTTTGCTCAGTGGAGTAGGAAACATGCTGTAAATTTTCACAAGAAATATTTTTTCCTGCAATTATGTATTGATGTATGCATCATATATATTTTGATACATAGGATACACAGTGACAGTCCCGAATTCAAAATGTACTGTAAAATGCATTCTGTGTTCATAAATCTATATGCCAACAAGCAATTTCTAATAGATGAACATCACTAAAGGCAAAATACTAAATTTTAACATGAGGGCATTAGAATTAATTAAAATAGGTGGTTGTTTTTAACAACAGGTTTTCTCCATGTGCCTAACTCCAAGGTCCTTGGGCCAGAAAGACTCCCAGAAGATATGTAAAAAAAAATTGCTGAACTGTCTGGTGCTTCTGCAAAGCTACAAGCTAGCCCCCCAAATTATAAGGAACCATATTTTTCTTTCACATATTTTTTGAAAAATGTATTTTGAAGCCAATTTAAAGACATAAAGTAACCATAGAGATTGAGATTTTTAATATAGCATGGGGCCTATGCGAAGAAATGTTTTTCCATTTGGTAGTTGCCTGCTGCATAGGGTAATTCTATTTTGTGAATTCAACAGAATAACTTTGATCCCAGATAGTTCAAATACCATCTAAAGTTCTGAGACAATATTGTGGGAATTATGAGGAAGTTCAAAGAATATCTGGATATAAATCTCAAGAAAGTTCTTGAAATATATTAATTTTATTTTTATTACATCATTATATTAATTTATGTGGTATTTTGTTTGGTTCTTTACAGTCTTGAGATTTTGTTTGGCAACAGCATCTATTATATTCCTCTTACTCAGCAATTGAGAAAAGATTTATCTGTATTTGTCATAGATGTCCCTAAATTCACCCCTCATGTCATCTTTCTTTTGTTTCAATAAAACCTGGTAAAAATTATAGTGACGTTTAAATACATTTTTACAAGCATCCCTTGTACCATAAAAGCAACCTCAATAACTACCTTTTGGTGTTGGTTTTTTTTGGCTTTGTTTTTCTAAATTTCTTGGTATGACCTTATTTTTCCATAAATGTATTGTACTCTCCCATCTAGATATTTAAGTCCTTGTGATACCAGGTTAACCCAGACAGAACACAAACAGTCTCCTGTGCTACAAATACACCTTTTTTTGGGTCCCTTCCTGTAGACAGGTGCTGCAGTTAACAATCCTGATATGTGGCTGCTCTCTGTGGATGGCACATTGTATCATGACCATCAAACTTCAGCGCCATGAAGTAGTTAAATAGAGACAATTAAAAAATAAAAAGAATAAAAAATCTGTGTGCCATGACCCTCAGTAATTTGTGCCTCATCCTTGCCTTTATCAGGGGAACTACAAAGGGTTTTCTATTTTTAATAGAAACTGAACTGGATCCTTGATCTTTCATTTGTTATTTGAGAAGGTTAATTTAGTGGGGAAATCAGTCCTAAACACCATTCAGTAGTCCAAAAGGAGTTAAGCAGAGGATTTCTGTCTTTATTTTTAGTTCTATGTAACAGATTGTTATAAAAGAATGAGGTATAATTCTAAATGTTGCCTTCATAATATTCTAAATCAGATTCTTCTGTTAATAAAAAGGGATCTGCGGTAGCAGTCACTCCAACTAATGATGGTGGAAAAGAGTACAATGATAACAGTTGGCACCAAATAATTGCTACAAGAATTCAAGCACTGGGAAATATCACCGTGGATGGGCAGTACACAGGTAATCAATTCAGTTAAATAAATTTGGCATTACTCAGGCTATTTCTCATTTGCTTACTTTCCTGCTAACTTTGTTTGCCCATACAGCAAAAAAATCACTCAATTTTGTGACAAAATCACTACCATTTTGTCTGTTCATCTGAGGTATCTGTCCACTGTGAATCTTTGATAATTTAATACTAAGTGTCTTTTTGTACTTGCGAATCTCTAATTGTGTTAATATTCTCTTGTAAAATAGAACTGTTAGTATCTCCTGAATGTGTGGAAACGTATTAGGATATTGTGTTATATTAGCCTCTTCTATAGAATATCAATATTTTGTTATTAAATCAAAAATCTGTTGAAAGCATTGAATACTGGAAAAATGACCTATTTTGTTCAGGTTCTTCCTTAGCAACTAGTGGCAGTACCATTATTGGCGAGAATACAGGAGTTTTTGTTGGAGGACTTCCGCAGGGTTATACTATTGTAAGAAAGGATGTAGGTGAGTATGCTAAATAAGTCTGTCCAGTTACTCAGATTTTACCTTTTGGGATAGATTGAAATATCTATATAGCTTATTTCATCAGCATTAAAGGAGCATATGAGATCTGTGAACATTTTAATGAATTTTATGCACAGAACTGGTATGAGTGTGAAACTTAGGTCTATATTTTCCATACAGATTCCCAAATTCTTTTCCAAAATACGCATGCAAATCGTTTTCATTAGCTTAAGCACAAGGTTATGCATCCCACTTGGATGCAGGGATACAACATGATGGCCTTTTTTGGTGTGGGTTTGGATCCTTCAGAGATTGTTGCATTGAACTCAGTGGTGTATGAATATACCTGCATTTTACCAGCATAGAATTTATGTGAATTTGGATCATATCTAACTTCCAGAAGAGTCAATCAGCATAAGTTTTCATATATGAAGTTGGTATATATGCCAAGTGTATAATCTGCCAGCAGATAATAGAGAGGTCATTGCCTACAAAACCAGTATGCAATCGGCTGCTCTCAGTGAATTTATATCCAGAATTTTAAGGATTTTTTTTATATTAAACTGAAAGTCAAATTGTTAAGTTTGTGTTCCACCTCTGACATGAAATCTAGTTGATGACTTGATGTGAGGTACACTAGGGTCCAACTCCCTCTTTCCTTCTTTATGTCACTTTATTAAAACCAGAAATATGTGGATGTGTTTTTCTAAAATGTTGGTTTACAAAGTAATCCAAGATGCCTCCCTCAAAAACTTAAACTAAATAATCAAAATGAGACTGATTATAAATGCCATTCAAGAGAAGGCCATCTATAAAATCCACATTATATTTTTGTTCCCAGTATAAAAACAGATAGCAGCCATGAATCATTATCCAAACAAGGAAAGAAAAACTTCCTGATGAAGATTCTAAACATGTGTTCATCTGCCTTAGTTTTTGCAATGTTGTTTCTTCCTTTTCAGCTGATGCACACCTTTCTTCAGAATTAGTTTTAACAAAACCTTTCTTGGAACCTTCATAGAGTAGATTTTTGATGTTGATTTGAAATTACCTGTATGCAAAATGTCAAAGTTAATATTTTCCAGGTATGTAGCAGTACCTGCTGTGTTTAGTGACCAGACTCATTCAGAAATCTCAAATTAGCTTTAGGAAGTGATTGATGGCTGGTTTTCAATGCACACATGAGCATATATGATAGGGTGAACAGGTATAAAACATATAAATGAATCCCTGTATTTAATTGCAGATGATTAGCTTAAAAAAAATTTTCTTTTTTGCAGGGATGAAGATAATAGTCCAGAAAGGATTTGTGGGGTGTCTCAGTGACATCTTTTTGAAAACAGTGCATACTCCCTATGAAAATTGGGAATCTTTGAACTGGCAGAATGCTGAAGAGCAAAACAATGTTTATCACATTTGGGAAGGATGCCCCATTGTCCTCTCAGAAGGAGCACATTTTCTTGGCAGAGGTAGTTTATTGTACTATTGTACTATCCAAGTATGAGATATAAGAGGTGGTCATCAAAAGTAATGCAGTGATCTGCTTTTCAAAGCAGTTTTTGTTATATAGGATAATTTTTTTAAGGTTTAAAATTGTGTCTCTGGGTTTACATAAGGCTGCTGAAAGAGGAATTGCATTCATAGACAGTGAATACAATGTGACTGTAGTGCTGCTGTAACTGTGCAGATTTGATGTGCATTTAAAAGGTGAAGAATCACTTTTGTAGAAACATAAAAGATGCCTATAAGGTACCAAAAAATGCTAGGTAAAAAATTTAGGATATCATACTAGTTTGGTTTCTTGCTATATGTTACTGATAACTGTTCTTTACGAAGCTGAGTGATAAAGTTATAAACTATACTGTTGAAGCCCAAGTTCTTCATGCCAAAGTAGAAAGTAGCACCTAAATTTTTATTTTTGGTGTCTTGAACCTATTTATTTGTGTATTTGATTAACTTATGTATGCATTCACTTTCTTTCAAGGGTTTCTGGAGTTGCATTCAGGTGTTTTCAGTGGTGGAGTGGAATTTGAGATCTCATTCAAATTCAGAACAGATCAACTGAATGGATTGCTTTTGTTTGTTTACAATAAAGATGGCCCAGATTATCTTGCAGTAAGTTCAAACCCACAAATAACTATATTCAGACATGACCTGTGAGGTTTGTCTACTAAAGCCAAACTAGCACTTACAGAAATTTCAAACCATGAGTTATTTTCAGGTTTTACTTGTTTTGAAATGCTTTGCATAGCAAAGTCTAAAGACACAAAAATGCTCCAACAGATGCTCAGAGTTAAGTTACCTGTGTTATTTATTTAAAAAATAAAAATATTGATGCATGAAAATCAGAATTACTGTCTTTACTGGATTAGAAGTGTTTAGAAAAGAGACTAAAAGATGTGCTAATAGCTTTCACTTCATTCCTAGGAAAATATACAGTTACCTATTTTCCCAGTTCTCATATTAGAACAAAATCAATTAAATTTTAAATCAAAAAGTTCATGATGGAAATTGTCCAGTCTCCTAACAAACCTTTCTCTTTAAGGTGCTTCTATTTTTTTAATAATCAATCAAATTATTTTCATCTGGATTTGAAACATATAGACAGAAATTAGTGGTTCAGTTTTGTCCCATCTCATCCCTGTGATGGTTTTCCCAACACTGTAGAGGAAGCTGCATAAATGCTGTATCAGGCAAATTTGTGAGATAGTGCCTATGAACTTTCTTTTTGGTGTCTGCTAGATGAGACTGTTAATGCTTAGAATTACTTGAGTTTTCATAATTTCCAGTATTTTGTTTAAGTTTTAATCTATTTGTTGTAGTTTTTAAAATTCTTTTATTAGCTACATGGCTCTGGATTTTCATATTTTTCTTACCCCAAGGATTTAGAGTGTAATTAGACTGTGGTCACCATTGCTTAGTGGGACAACTATAGTTAGTAACTGCACCAACTAGTAAGTATTACAGAGGGTTATGTGGAAAGAAATACCTTTTTTATTCAGTTGGCCTAGGAAGCAATAATTTATTTTTAGAGATTTTTGAGAGTATTGTTACTCTTTATGACCCAATCTGCCCTTTCTGCATTTTTATTGAATTTTATTTATTTAATTATTTCTTATTATGCAGCTGTTTCACTAATGGCTGTCATGTCACAGCTTGTTTTATTGCATGGCATTATATCTAATGGGCCTTTTCTTTTAAACTTCTGACCTAAAACATATAAATATATTTTTCTCCTTTTCAGGTCAGCTATAACTTACTCTATATTTACTTTTCTCATTCCTGGCTTTTCCAGCAGTTTTCCTGGGTTTTGAATTCTGCTAGACTTGATTGCTTCCTCTTTAGTTAAAAAATTATCATGAGTTCCAATGCATTACTGGCTTTTCCAGCAGATAATTTTTTCCTGGGTTTTGTATTCTGCTAGACTTGATTGCTTCTTCTTTTTAAGCAGCCTTAGTTAAAAAATTATCATGAGTTCCAATAACAAGTCTTGATAATTGCAGTTATTACTTTAATTTTGCTCTCAAGTAATGACCAAGATCATGAGATAATAGCATAAGATGTTATATATACACTACTGTCACACCCTAAAAAGGACTTGTATGTGTGTAGTTCACAGCACAGGGGCACTATTTGAACAATACCCACAGGGTTCTGGAGATTCTGGTAGTATGTGATCCTTGCTTAGTCTCTCTTGCTCTGTTGTCCCGGTCTGGTAAGACTTGGGAGTGTTCGATCGATTCCCCCAGTGTGAATTAAGACACAAACGAGGTCAAAATACTGTTAGGGAGTGAGATTTTATTATTGGTTACTCTAGGGGGAGAGAGAAGGGGTGATAGGAAAGTTAGACACAGAAAAGGGGGAAGCACGCGAGATCTGGGATGGTGCAGTAGAGATAGTCACCACCATAGGTCCAGCAGCATTCTGATGATCCATAGCTGTCTTTTCTTCCATGGTGAGTGTGTGCCATGCTCCGGATGTTGATCCTTTTCATAGTACTCTGTCGAGCACTGACTGGTCAGTTTCCTTGGTGCTGAGCAATTCCCAGCCTCATGGTCTGAAAGGGTTGTCAGTCGTGGACAATGGTGAACAGTGGTGGCTTCTGGTCTAGGCAGCAGGAGGGGATGTGGATCGTTTTGTGGGAGATGGGTCGGGGGGTGTCATGGTGGACAGTGGTGGCTGTTACCTCGGAATGTCGGTTGTTATCTGTTAGCTGGAGGGTTTGGGTGGTGGACAATGGTGCCTCCTTATCTCAGCAGCTAGGGGGAATGTTGGTGGACAATGGTGCCTCATTATCTGGAGGCTGGAGACACCCTGTGACTCAACAAGCCTTGAGGCAAACAATCCAGGAGTAGCTTTTTTCATTCTTCTTCACCAAGTCACCAAAGCTAGGCAATGTCCAAACAAACATTTCTTAAAGGTCCCTTACATGTGTGTAACACTACCAGAAATATGAGAAAATAGATTGTAATTGTAAAACGAGGAAGGAGACTTACTAAATTGGAGCCAAAAGCACTAATTGTAAAACAAGGAAAGAGACTTACTAAATTGGAGCCAAAAGCAGAAAGTAGACAAAATAATTTCCTTTTCTACTCAAACTTCCAGAATTTTGGCAGTTTTATATTTATAGTATTTTCAGCTCTGAGAATTGTGATTGGATAATTTTCTTGGTATTTGCCCTAAGTCAAATGTTATTTTTTTTTTTCTTAGCATTTGCCCTAAGTCAAATGTTATTTTTTTAAATCTCACTTTAATCCTGACCTCAATGTCTTCATAGTCTTAAGATGAGGAATTTTAGAGAGGATGAGTATATGCATGCTTTCCACCCCTTGCAGCTTTGTGTTCTGCACATACATAATGATGACAGAAGGGTTTTCTGTACACTTGAGCTCACAAAAAAAAGGTTAATAGAAAGTGAAAATGAGGTGTGTAGCATGTTGCGCATGAGCTACGATGTCTTTGTTAGGAGCTTTGGTCAGGAGACACTTGCACAGCAAAACAGATTATAAACTATATCACTTACACTGAGTGCCAATGTAAGATGGTATTCCCTGACCCTTCCCTTTGCATAGGTCACAGCTCTCTTATTAGCTTTACAGTTTGGGAGTAACTATAGCTAGATACACAGCTGGTTTGCTACCAAACAGCCAAAGACTCTGTCTTGTCTTCTGCCCAAGACAAAATTACATTCTAGAAAGGTGCTGTGCATAAAGGTCACTTCTTCCATGACTTCTATGCCCTGAGAAGTAACTCAAGGCAGAGAGGTTAATCTGGTTCTCTTTGGATCCAGGCATAAAAGTTATAAGCAAACTGTGACCAGATATACTAGTATGAAGCAGTAGCTCTCACTCTGGCATGTATTTCCTCATGAATTTATATGATTAAAAGAATCTGTGACTGCTGACTGAGCTTGCTTTACTGATTTTGATGCTGAGCACTTCAACAGCAGCTAAAGCCTAAGCACTGCCGACCTTATGTGCCGGAGAGCCATTGGATCCTAGGGCATTGTAGCTGATGATTTGCTACAAAGCTGCAAAATAAGACATAAGTCCTGCAAGAACTTTCTCTAAAGCATGACACTTTTGAATAGCTGCATGAAGTAAAACAGCTAATGTCCAAGATGAAGGTGTTACCTGTGGTGGAACTAAGGAGGAGTGTGAGATTAGTGTTTTGAGAACTCAAAGTGGAAATTTTTGTATTAGCAAGGAAGTGGCTGGTACTCGCTTGAGAGTCATGAGGATGGTATTCCTGTTAGTTATCAGTGATTTAGGTGTCAAAAAGAGATTCTCACTCCTTTTCCATTAAAGAGTGACTGGTTCTGAGACTACTGAGGGCCTCTGCCCTCTGACTGGAAGGTCTGAACTGGGCTAGATTTTGAACTGGAATGACTGGCTCAACATGAACATGAATACCATGTACTTTTTCTTTCAAAGGGCTCACAGACTGCCTGTTCTTGCCAAGTTTTTTCAAGTCCTTGCTTGTGTCTGCTGATATTCCTGAATCTCAAGCAGATTTCCCAGTTTGAGGGAGATAAAGCCATAATCACTCTTCTAGCTCTACATTAGTTGAGACTTTTTGTATGGCAGGTTTAACAAAGTGTCATTCAGACTCTAATGCAGCCTCTGTCTTATCTGAGTTTTGTTTCTCAGAGCTATATATGGATATTCCTTTCTTCTTCAAAAATCATGTTTATAAGCAGATGGAGTGAGGCAGGGACTGGTTTCTTCAGAGAAGTAAAATACAGAAGCACAAAATCATTTAAGTTGAAGGGGTCTTTTGAAGTAATTTATTCAAAATCTGTGCTAAAAGGAGGACCAGCTTACATATGATAAATTTGCTCCAGGCATTTTCTGTTTTGAGTATTGTGCATCTCTCTGCAGGTGGACTGTCCACAACTTCCCAAATTCTACAGCCTGTTCCAGTCTTTGGCCTTTCTCATTATAGGGAAAAACAAATAAACAAACCAGTCCTAATCATAAAATCATAGAATGTTAAGGGGTTGGAATAAACCTTAAAGATTATCTAGACCAAACCCCCAATGCCTTGGGCAGGAACACCTTCCATTAGACCAGGTTGCTCAAGGCTTTATTCAACCTGGTTCTTTCAATTTACACCCATTACCCCTTGTCCTATCACTAAAAAAAAAAAAAACCACAAAAACAACACAACCCAAAGAGTCCCTCTCCAGCTTTTTACTATGATTGATCTCTTACTGTTTCTCTCATTACAACTTGTCTTTTGCCTCTCATCCTTTCAGTGTGAACCTCTGAGAAGTGTTTGGGTCTGTCTTCTCTATATCCCCCCATAAGGCAGTTGTACAGTTAACTTCTCTTCCCACTTACTCCTAAGGCTGAGCAAACCCTGTTCTTTCAGCTTCAGCTCATACTGTAGTTACTCCAACCCCTCACCAACTTGGTGTCCCTCCACTGGATGCACTCTGGTGTGCCACAATATCTTTCATATACCAGTGTCCACAACTGGATACAGTAGTCCAGACATGGTCTTATATGTGATGAGTAGAGGGGAAGAATCATCTCCTTGGAATGCCTACCTTTTTTCTAACGTAGCCTAATGCATGTTGGTCTTCATTTTGAGGGTACATGGCTGGCCAGTGTTCAGTTTCTAATCCATCTTGACTCAGTACTTTTCTTCAAAGCCACTTTATATGTCTAGGATACCAGTGACAGCCCCTTTTGCTATCAGCTGCAAACTTGTTGAGGGTATACCCCATCCTGTTGCCCAGATTATTAATAACATTTTTTAATCAGTTTTAGTCCTTGTATCAAGCTCAGAGAGATACCACAACCTGCTAGTGGGACTGTGGAAGCTCTTCTTGCCCCTCATATCTTCCAGATTCAGGCTTTCCTAATTCCAACCTTACATGCTCAGGTATATCAAAATAAGAATTGTGTGTATAGAGAAGAGCATTAATGAAATTTTCTACCCCAAATTTGAAAAGCAAGCATGCTTTTAAGAATTAAACTGGATTTAGAGCTGTTGTTCTATTGAGAGACAGCACGAGATCTTAATGCATTTTTGGTTTAAAGAAATAATGTATTTTCTGAGGACAGATTCAAAATCAAGATTTTTTTTTAAGTGGTCCTAGAATTTTATCTAAAGCAAACAATATTTCTGTTGTTTTTCTAAACCTATGCTCAGTACCAGAGAATGCTACATCTATGCAGGTCTTAGCCTTTTTTTGTCTTCACCATGCAGAAGAGTTGAAACTGAGCAGTGGTCCCCTATCTTTAGCTGCACTTGGGCAGTCCAAATGTCTGTTCAGGTCACCACAAAAAGCACAAGCATCATTCACTGCCTGCTTTAAAACTATGCCAAGATGAGTAAATTGGAAGAGGGTTGTGCTGAGTAGTGACCCTATGTCAAACATCGTGCCCTCTCTCTGGCTTCCAGGTCTGGCAGGCTTGTTGGAATACTGCTGTAGTCATGCATCTGGAATGCTTTCTTCACACCAGCACAGTGTGTTCCATATTAATTCTCATCAGAGAAGAAAAGCAGTGACTTGTCCAATGGTCTGCTTGCTCAAGCTATACTCATGAGCACTGATGCCAAAATCAGTCCTTCACCTGTATTGTAGAGTCCTTAGCTATGAAGGGCTCTGAACTCACGGCAATAGGAAAAGTTGTGGTCCTAAAGAAACAAAGTCCCTCTGTCTCATCAGCAAGAAGCCAGTGTGCACTCAGGAATGGGACCTGCATAGCCTGTGGCACTTCAGGCACTGAGTTCTTTCACCAGTTGGGGTCTCTGTTAAGGAAATACAATCCAATTACAAACACTGCAATATTAATATTATCAGTAAACTAAATATGTCAGTTTGTCAATAACGGTGATAAGAATTTATATTAAATCTGTAGTTTTTATTTCACTTAATAGGGTTTTGGCATAGAAACATTAATGCCTTTTTTTGTGAATGTGTTCATATTTTTCAACCACCAGTTCATCCTGTAAGTGTTTAGTGCTTTATATGTGCCAATTTGCAATCTCAGCCCTCTTACGTTCCATTCAGTTAGGATAAAGAGTCTTGCAGTAAAGCATTTGGAAACTTCTGCAGTGAAAAATTTAAGTAAAATGTATTTCTATTAGGGAATTGGCATATTAATCTCAAAAATTACATACAAAACCAATTATTTTCTTACAAGATTTAGAAGAATAAGGATAAAATGTATGAATGTAAGAATCAATGTACGCTGGAAAAATTTGAAATTGAGTTCACCAGCCAATTAAAAAGACCTTAATCAGGTCTGACATTTCATTTCCTTATTATCTTGTTACAGTCTTCTAAAAAATGAATCGATAGATAAAATACTGTTTCCTCATTCTTGAAAAAAAGCAAAACATTCCTGGCTCATTGCCTTTTCTTTTTATTTAGTTATATTAGTGCCAAAGTCAGTTGTCAAAAAACCAAAATCTATTTTTCTGCATTCTGAATTAACTGAAGCACTGTATTTAGCATGTTTTGTGTAAACAATATTATCCTGAAGATAAAAAATTGTTGTTCATTGATCTTGTTCATAACACCCTTGATAATGTTTTTCAAAATAACTTTCTGTCACTGTTTTGTATTTGATGTATTTTTCAATTTTTTTTTGTGTTTTAAAATATATAGATTGAACTGAAAAGTGGAATATTGAACATCTTTTTTAAAACTGGCATTGTCTTTACACAAATGGATCTCTGGTTGGGACTGTCTTATTGTGATGGAAAGTGGAATGAAGTCACCTTGAACAAGGAGGGCTCTGTGATTTCAGCAAGTATGAATGAACTCAGAGAGCAGGTGCTCAAACCCCATGTTCAGGAGCTGAAAATAAACTCACCTATCTATGTAGGAGGAATCCCACCCAAGATTCGGAGTTTTTATAAAGATCTGGGATTACAAAAAGGTAAGAGGACACTAAGAAGGACATATGTTTTCAAAAACTGGTGTCATGCACAAGATGGACATTCAGCTGCTGATAGTGGAAATTCATGAGTATGTAAAATAATTTTTTTTACTCCCACCCAGTGCTGCTTTAATTACCAGTTATCCCTACCCATCCAGCTTTACTTAGTGCTGGTGCTTTTATAATGCTATAAAAATTCTTCCAACCCAGTGATATCTAAAGCAATCTAACTGATAGGAGAGGAACTTGAGTAAGTGGCAAATGGCAAACTGAGATGCCTAATCAGATGATCTCAAATCTTCATCAGAGAAAACCAGTTCAGATAAACTTGTTTCACTTGATAAATTTTTTTTCACTCACAAAAGCAGTGGAAGACAGTAAACATAGCTTAAATCACTGTAATGAGGCTGGATGCTGCCACACGGAAGAATAGTTGAGTTTTTAAGTCCTTTTTTTAGTCAATAGTGATTCTGTCTAAAAAATCAAGTGAATATGAACTCCTGAATTTGGATTTTGGCCATAATTACCATGATCTTTTCCTTGTTATCAGAAGGAGGGGAGATGATCATATTTATAACCATCACTGTGACCCTTCTGTTCTGGAGCAGATCAAATTTGTAGGGAGAACAGAGAATCATTAATTGCAGCCTGATACTAATGGCCTCCAGAAAAGGATATTCTGTGGAAAATGCTGTCCAAAAGTGTGTATTCAACTGGCTCTGTTTACATGTGTTTTTTCATTACTCTGGAAACTAGTCACGGTGCATTTTGCAGGTGCTGTGGGCAAATAAGTAGCAGTCAGGGGAATCTTAGTAAGTGGCTTGGTATCCATGAGCTCACACTGAATACATGCATTCAAGTAAGCTCTGCAGAGCTGCATTGAAACCTTGTGATTTCACAGCTACAGAATAGTTTGAATCAAATCCATGCATTGGCATTCACAGATAGCTCCAAAGTTTTATTTTAAGTGTTCTTCCAGCTGTAGGTATCACATATAATATAATCTTCCTTCAGGTTCTATGTGCATAATATTTATGGCCCAAACGAGCTAGCCAGTCATACCCTGTCAGGGTTGCTTCATAGCAGATGGTATAGCCTCGTGAGTGGATGCATTCACAACTCCTGCAGCAAAGAGATCTGTGAACAAAGAATCTAGGGCAAAATAGCAGCTATAAGGGAATGTCTGAAGTGCATATCAAGGCACATCAATAAACATTACTTTTCCACCAAGCCTCCTCAGCATGCTGCAAAATAAGATGGCGTCTTATATTGAGCATCTGAAGGTGAAAACATTCTCATGCATTCCTAAATGCAGGTTTAGATGAGCAAAATTAGACGTTATATACTTGTATTTCGCACTGCAATGATGTAATGGTAAAGTAATAGAATATGGAGACTTTCTCACTTGCTAAATATTTAGAAAAAATTTTCTCAGTCAATGGTTGCTAGGGAGTTAATTTTGAAAAAAGTAATGTTGTTTTGCTCTGAGAAAATTAGGGATAAACAGCCTTCTCCTTCCACCTCACCTCCATGTCAGTTACAACTTTGTTTAAAAAAATTTCAGGTAGAGTATGTGGGCCTTTGCATGACCCATCACATGCCATCACATGAGAGGTTCAAAAGGAAGGTACCTGGCAGGAATGTGTGAGAATTTGTGCTGTCTTTAATTATTCTGCAACTACTTGAGAATAAACAAAATTACTTGGCTGATATTGTTCACAAATCTTTAAATAGTCATAAATGTAGCTAAAAATATACTAAAAATAATGTATTAAAATAAATCATACAGTCTGCATGTCACTGCGAATTAAACAACTGTTCATTTTGTCTAATGTATGGGATGCCCATGCAGACTGGGACTAATTCTTTCCTCTGTCACAGACTGACTAAGAAACTGAGCAGGTCACAGTGCAGTAGGAGTTGAGCTTAAATTAGGATGTATTCATTTTAAGGAGTGGTTTGACCAAATTCCGGTGCAGTGGAGAAAGAAGATGTTGTAGAGGATGATTCAGAATGGGTGTCCACCTTCAGTATCCCTTTTTGCATGAACTACATATAAACATTGGATTCTTGGTTTGGGTGGCTAAGTAAAAATGCTACTCTGATCTGCCATCTTGCAGTAATAAAGACAATAAATGTATGTAAGATGCAAATATGGTGCTTTCACAAAGCTAAAAAGCACAGTGATCTTTGAGAGGCAGATTTCCAATTTACAAAGTTAATTCTTAAATGAAGTATTCAGTTGTGTTACTCTTTACTTTGGGTTTATTCTAAACACCAGTCACTACTCAGATTTGAGAACTATTCGGTATCCATTTCTACTTTTTAGTAGAAGTATATAGAAATTTTAAGAACTGCATCCTGAATTTTGTAGTGGTGTTTTAACTGCACGTAACTAGCTTAACATACTTGTAATGTTGGTAGGGGTGTTACACACACAGACACACACAGAGAGAGAGAAATATGTCTGTATAGAAATAAACATAAAATGAAGCTTCTTTAATTTTTTATTGTAAAAGAATAGTTTGGGTTATGTTTCTAGAATATGTTCATAAAAATTTTTTATTGTAAAAAAATAGTTTGGGGTTATGTTTCTAGAATATGTTCATAAACAGCATTCCAGTTTTGTCTTCATTAGAAAAAACTGATATACCTCCATCTGATCTCCTGAAGGTAGTTGTATTTTTAGTCTAGATATTCTTCTCAGTTTGAGGAAATGTATATATTAGCAAAATATTAGCAAGCAGCAGAAAGATGATTTTAAAAGTCAGAATCACTTTTGTGGTATTAATTTTAAAGTGAGAAGTGACAGAAGAGAAAACAGAAAGCTATTTCCTTGTAGGATGGAATTGCTGACAGTGAAAGTGTAGTTCAGTAAGGCAGGAACTCAACACTAGAGTACCAAGAATTTTTACCAGCTTACTATCTTGAAAGTGGAATCAGAATATCACATTGGAAGTCAACATATTCACATTACAGTCTTTAATGCTGAAAGTATAGAATTGAAAGGAACAAAAGTGTTTCTTAATGATTGAAGCTATTTATGTGGTACTAATCCCTTACTGTTTGCTAGGTTTCGGTGGTTGCATGAAGGATGTTAAATTTACACGAGGTGCTGTCGTTAACTTGGCATCTGTGTCCAGCAGTGCTGTCAGAGTCAATCTGGACGGATGCCTATCAACTGACAGTGCTGTTAACTGCAGGGGAAATGACTCCATCCTAGTGTACCGAGGAAAAGAGCAGAGTGTTTATGAGCGTGGTCTACAACCATTTACAGGTAGTGCACTGGTTCCTTAAATAAAACATATTATTTTCATTTCATTCTGTATTAATGTATTGCCATGTTCAGTGTTTTCTTTTTTCTTTTATTTTATTTTTTGAATCTTTTACCTACTCTATATTTTCTGTTATTTGAAGAATACCTCTACCGGGTGGTTGCCTTAAATGAAGGAGGGTCAGTATCTAGTGCATGGAGCCGCATTCGTACGAGAGAATCAGGTAAATATAATTTTAAGATTTACTTATTCCCACTTTTCATTAGCTATCTAATGTCAGGTTGGAGGTGTTCAAGAACTGTCTGGACATAATTGTGTGCTCTAGAATGATCCTGCTTGAGCAGGGAGGTTGGACCAGACAACCCACTGTGGTCCTTTCCAACCTTACCCATTCTGTGACACTGTGGAGACAATCCCACTACAACAATTTTGAGCAGTGCACATTGTGTTTCTGGAGAAGCAAAACTGCTTAATGCTTTGAACAGGTACCAAAGTACAGTCGTCAGTTATGAAGTATTCAGGTAAGTATTTTCTTCACGTAATTCAAGGTATTTTCTGAAGATGCATCAGATTATGTAGTTAGGTGAGAGCAAAGGGTGTTAAAGGGTTGAACTGCATTAACTGAGTAAGTACAGCCATGCATTGAGTTGTGTTCATATGTGCATATCTAACCTCATGTTACATGAGTAGGCTGGAGTAAGTAAATCTGTATTTTCCTATATTTAGCTTAAGGATACAAAATTGGGTGTAGAGAAGGGTAATGCTGGGGTAGTAGACACAAGCTGTGGAAGATGAGAGGCCATGTAGTTGCTGGGGACAAGAGGATCTTGTGAAAGTTTCCTTTTTTAAATGACCCACACATGGGTATGCTGCTCGGTGCTGCTGAATGAGGATTCTTTTAACAAGTAGTACACAGAATACGTGTGAAAATGTGGCAATATTTACTAGAAAAGCAGCATGTGGCTTGTGGAGAGGGTTTCAAAGTAGGAGCATAATACCTGCTGAGCGTTAAAGATCAAATTTTTCATATGTCTTATGTAGAAAATGAAAAAAAACTTTTCTGCATGGTGTTTTTGCAAACTTCATCAAGCCTGTAAGTTTTTGAAGATTTACAATTCTACATGTTTTATTCAGCCAACTTGCTTTCTTTTTCAAATTGAAGCCTAATTGCATTTCATCAATTCTTTTGAGAATTCTTTTGAGAATTCTTTTGATGCGAGTAATTCAGTGTATGATCTTAAAAAATTGTGTGATACCTGCATAAATATTGGACTTGCAAATGCATTCTTATGCAACTTGCTGTCATAATTTTGTGTGCCACCCAGAAGGGACAATATATATGCATATTTTCATATCAACTGTCTGACAACTGTAAGGTTTGCCACAAATTTATATTTGCAAGCTGACCACAGCATTGAGCAGTCCATGTTCCCTGGGGCTGGAGAATAATTGCACTATTTAATTATTTTTGAGTTGGTTTTGTTATATCCCTTATGAGAAGACCATCTGCTGTATAGTACCTTACCTTGCCCTGTGATACACTTCATAACTAATAAAATCAATATATTACTGTAGTAATGGAAGCTTTCTCGGAGCATCACATTCTTGCTTTACACAAGAATCACAACTTCCAGGTATTTTTGTACATTCCATGCTGGTACTCATAAAAACAAGGCTGCATTTATATTTAATGAAACTAAACAATAAAATTGCTAAAAAAATAGGTTATTTGATGGTGAGCAAAGTGAATGATCATCAGCAGGGCTAGGGAGTCCACATGCATTTACAGCAAACTCATCATCCATCATCCTGCCATAGTGTTCCTTGGGTCTTTCCTCTGCATCCCTTGTGCAGTCATCTGTGATGAAGCTGTTACTGGCCAGAACTTTACTTGGTATAATAATATCTAAGAAATAGGTAAAGGTTATAGAAAATGGAAATGACTTTCCAGTTCTTTAAAATATTTTCATTTTCCTTTATCATTTTTATCTTTTTTTTTTTCTTTTTATAATATGGAATGATCAGAAGCAAAGGATTTTGCAAAACTGCCTTAAAAATCTCTGCTTTGCCTCAAGACACTCGCATGGCATTGTGGAAATAGGAAAATAATTTGAAGAGCTTTAATTTTTTGAAGGACTTCCATAAATGAGAATGCATATTTTTATAAATTTTTCATAGGTGTGGCATTCTGTAGCATAGACACACAACAGATAAGTATCAAACTCTTCTCTGTTGCAGTACTGTCTTGCATCATTTAGTTGTATGGTTACAAAGCCTGAGCTTCTTAGCTACATACAATCCACCTCCTCTCTTTGTGAGTGATGCTTAAATATGTTTGATACAGGAAATGTTTTTGGAAAATTGCAACAAGACAAGAAGGAATGTTATGTAGATGGAGTTTTGATGGTTTTGAAATATAGCTTAAACTGAATAGCTCAAGATGTGCAGTCATATTAAATCAATGCTGAAAAGTTACAACTCTAATAAATTGTATTTATGCTAATGGTTGAGTCTGATTTACTGCAGCCATTAAAAGTGAAGAATAGGGGCAATAGTCTCCTTAAAACTGCCATTTTCTCTATTTTCTATTTTATCCTTCTACAGTTCCACAAAATGTGCCAACTCCCTCAAGAGTTCACAGTATAAATGGTTACAGCATTGAGGTCACCTGGGACAAACCAGCTGGGGTCATAGGTGTAATTGAGAAGTACATTTTGAAAGCATATGAAGCGGATGGTCCCCATGTACCCATCACTAGTGCTGAGCTTGCTGATGCTAGTATGCTCACAGGTAAATGTTGTTAAGTACCATTTTTTAGGCAAATCTAATAGCACAGGATGCTTATTTCTCCTTTTGTTGATATATAAAATACTACTTGTCTCATTTTGTGTATACACAGCATAGATAATGTTTGGAAGGGTAATTATTTGTGTCATAGCAATGTACAGACTTCAAAGAACAATAGAAATTAAGATACAACACAAATTCTAAAAAGCGATTTGATTTAAGGTCTGTCTTCCTGACCTCTTGATGATTTGTGGGAAAATGCTTTTTTGGTTTTTTTTTTGTTTAGTACATGTGATTCTTCTAACTCCTATGTTATTCAATCCAGTTCACCTAAATTAACTCTGATTGGGGGTCCCACACTATACTATTTGACCTGATGTATGAAAGCACTTGATATACTTGCCTAATTTTGATCATACAAACCTAACTGATTTCAGTAGGAACTAGCATGCATTAGTGTTAATCAGATGCTATGGTTGATACCACTGGGATGTGGAGGTAAGTTATTATGGAATGAAGGAATCTGGGGCTTTGGGTTTATGGAGTTTGGTTGCTGTTGAGCTGTGAGTTGTGGACAGGAACTATAGGAACCATTGCTCATCAACTGTTTCCTGGAGTCTAGGTCTTTTTACCCATGGGATGCAGGTTTTTTTAGAAAGAAATGCTGGACATATGGATTAAATAGCTTATTCACTGCTGACGGTCAGAACCAAAATGTTGTTTAAATTGGTTGGCATTGTGCCATGATTATGTGGCATAGTTATGCAAAAGTCTAAACCTGGCTGGACAAGTAAGAGATAATCAAGAGGTTATCTGCATTCAGCTTACAGGAGGTAGAAGGAGGCATATATTTATAATAATGGAGACCATAAATGGATTCTGGTTCTTTAGTCTATTACAGCAGAGAGCTGTTGAATAACGCCAAGTAAAATCATGGAATCATACAATACTACATTTCAAGGGAGCTCATGGAAGGGTCCAGCCTTTCTTGGTAAAAGCACAGTCTAGACAAGATGGCCCAGCGCCCTGTCCAGCTGAATCTTAAAAGTGTCCAGTTTTGGGGAATACACCACTTCACTGGGAACGTTTAGTCCAATGGCTGATTGCTCACACTGGAAACATTTTTCCTCTTGTGTCCAATTGGAATCTCCCCAGGAGTAACTTGTACCCATTACCCTTCATCTTTTCCTCGTTAGTCCTTGTGAAAAGGGAGTCTCCATCTTCTCTGTAGCCACTCTTTAAATACTGGAACACAGTGATATGGTCTTCTTTTCTCAAGGCTGAACAAACTGAATTCTCTCAGCCTTTCCTCACATGGCAGGCTTCCCAGTTCTTTAATCATCTTGTGGCCCTTTTCTGGACCTTCTCCAGCCTGTCCACATCTTTTTTGCACAGCGGGGACCAAATCTGAACACAGTGTTCCAGGTGTGACCTGACAAGCACTGAGTAGAGTGGGATAATGGCTTCTTTAATCTCTGCTGGTGATGTCCTTGTTGATGCAACCCAGCATCATGTTGGCTTTCTTTGTCACAGCAGCACGCTGTCCACTCGTATGACCCAAAGTACTTAAGAATGGCTGTATTCAATCAATATATTGATCTCTGTGACAATGTCAGATTATAGATGCTTAGGAAGAAAGTGTAGGAAATGTGCTAAGCATAGAGTGAGTCTTCCTGTTAATACAAATTCAGCTGGTTGGTTCTGGAATTCCTCAGCTGAAAGCTGCATCTGGACTGTCATGCTTAATGGTCTGTGGTAGAATTGTCTTTCTCTTCTTTTATTTTCATAGTACATTTATAATTTTGGCTTCTGCAGCTGGCTGTGGCACTGAGTTTTCCAATTCAGTTTTGTGTGTGTAAGGAGTGCGTCCTCTTGTTTTTCCTAACTGGTGGCCAATAGTTTAATTATTTATTTTCCAATTTTGGCATTGCATGAAATAGATAGTTCATGTCCTCATGGTGAGGTCAGAGCTGAGAAAAATGAAAATTAAATCACCAATTTTTAAGTTATTTTACCTTTGTCCCTTGATTTCAGTAAAGCCTACACATATGCACAAGTTAATAGTCAATGAGAACTGGTTACCCACAAAAGTGAGACTGCCAAAAAAAATGTGTCTTTCCCCGCTAAATTATCTTTCCTCACAGTGGGATCACTGGTGAAGAAACTCTGGTATTTTTCCATGCCTTCCTTCAAATTTGCACCCTTGTCAAGCCTAGGCACTGCTTAATCTGTTGCTTGCCAATGTATCTGAGGGCACTGGTAACCCTCTTTGTCTTATTTTTTCCCTTGCAGCTTTTTAGGCCCATGTGTTCTGTTTTGGTTTATACTGAAACTGTAAATTCTTTTGAAAAATTACAGTAGGGTTCAGAGTTATAATTGGAGCACAGTAACAAAAAGTTATGAATAGCATTACTCATTTCCCAGAAGGCTGCCCTGAGTGTGTCAAATTCAGAAGAACCTGTTGTACCTTTGTCAAGAAGAAAAGCTGAGCAAAATATTAAAGTAGGTCTTTAAATGATCATAATCCCGGTCTCAAATGCCTATTTCTGACTCTTCAGAAACCAAAATCCTTCAAAATCTGACCCTTGCAATCTTCAAAATGTCAAACTGTTTTTTCACTTTCACCTAAGAAAGGAATATTCAGCAGATTTAAATCCTTAACATGAGGTTCTGACTGATGAACTAGGAGTTTATTGGATAAGGTGATATATTTCAACATAGTGTTCAGTATTTGTATTCTAGGATGAGAGTATAAAGTTAGAGTGCAAATTCTGGGGATTCAAGGAGTTCTCTGCTGGCCCATCTGGCCTTCAAAAAGGCATGTAGTAACATTAATACACTTTGGATACAGCTGGTCACATTCACAGAGTAATAAGGAAAGTACACGGTCATTGCATCAAAGAATTTTTTCCCAAAGTCTGTGTTGCTTTCCTCTGCATTCCAGTGCATTCCACAAGCTGACATCAAAATTTGAAACATAAATCAGAATCAGTATTTAAACAAATGAAAGAACCTTTAGAACACAGTTTCAGTGTGGTTTGTGAGCTGCTCTTTCTTCTACTGTCCTTTGGAATCCTGAATATCACAGGATCATTGGGGTTGGAAGGGACCTCTTGAGAACATCTAGTCCATTCCCCCAGCTCAAGGAAGGTCAGCTGGAGCAGGTTTTCCAGGACCATTTCCAGTCAGGTTTTGAATATCTCCACACATGGAGAAATACCTCTGTGGGAAGCCTGTTGCAGTATTTGACCATCCTTGCAGTAAAAAGGTGGTTTCACATGTTCAGGTGGAATTTCATTTTCTCTCCAAGGAAATGTAACAGCACCAAGCCTTATCGAGCTCAAGAAGCTGTCAGACACATGGTGTGATTTTTAGGGTTGTCCTGTGCAGAGCCAGGAGTAGGATTCGATGATCACAGAATATTTAGGTTGGAAAAGACTTCTGAGATCATCATGACCCATGATCCTTGTGGGTTCTCTCCTACTCAGGATATTCAATGATTCATGTATTTTAATTTTTTCCCATTGACACTTGTCCTGTCACTGGGCACTACTTAGAAGTGTCTAGCTGCTTCTTCTTTGTTCCCTCCCATCAGGTATTTATGCACATTGATAGGTCACCCTCAGCCTTCTCTTTCCTGAACTGATCCCAGCTTTCTCAGCCTCTCCTCATAAGAGACATTCTCCAGTCCATTTGTCATCTTAGTGGCTGTTTTGTATCATCCATGAACTTGCTGAGGGTTCACACTTCTCCCATCATCAGGGCCATTAATGAAGATATTGAATACTACTTGCCTCAGTATCATCCTCTGGGGTACACACCAGCTGTCTTGCCTCTAACCAGATTTTGTGCCATTGGTCTCAATCCTCTCATGCTTTTCAGATTGCTTTCATTGTAGAATTCAGGAGATTGACAAACTTCTAAATTTCAGGCTCCCAGTTATGGGCAGTGAAGAACGCTAATGAAACCTGCACATAACATTCAAATAAAATATTCTGCAAAAGAATTCACAAACAATTGGCATTTCTCTTACAGATTTCTCTTTCAAGTTTGTATGGCTTTGTAGTTCATCTCACCTGTGCCATTGCCACAATAGCCAAGGGCTGATGTTGTGGCTGCACACATGGTAATGAGCAAAGTGTCAACAGCTTCCCCACTGAATGCCCATGGATGCCATTCCATCCTTCTTGTGACACGTTTGTAATTACTTTTCACCTTTTAGTCTTTTGTACTTGGCAGGTGAATATCTCAGGAAAAGTAAATTTAATGATTTAATATGGTTAATCAAAGTGTCTGGGCTGCGCCTTGGCTTGAAGGTGCTCTAGCTAGGGAGTCTCTCAGAAGAGGAGACAGGGCCACCTGCCCATGACGCATTAGCCAGAGCTGGACAGAGGGGCCACAGGGCTGGGGGAAGCTCATTGCCAGGCTGGCAAATGCCCATGCTTGAGGAAGTGCCACTGGCTGAGAGATTCTCCTGCTCAGGGAGAGCTCTGCCAGGCCTTAGCCAGCACTGCCTAAGCAGCCTGTGGCTCTGTGACTGACCTCTGCACCCTGATTATTGCCACTGACAGAGTTTAGGATTCACTCTCTGAGGTGGCTCTTAGAAAATGCTGTTTACTTTGTGCTTCTTTGATCTGTGTGAAGCCTTTAAGCACTTTAACACAGATGGGGAGTTTACCACATGAAACTGTTGATGAATTACTTGGATAATGCTTTCATGCACTTGAAATTACTTGAAAGCTCTTGGTTTGCACAAATGTTTTGCACTCAAAACATTCCCATGCTACAGTTGATCAGATTTTTGTAAATTTTTATGAAAGGATTGCAAACCAACTGATTTAAAAGTAAGTAGGGCCAGAGCACTAGGAGGACTTCCAAATCCCTACTCCAAGTGGAGACAAATATCTAATGTCCTAAAACATTTCATTTAAATACAAAGAGCCGTAACACACTAAACAGGTGTTGGTATATTTAGCATATATTTGCTTGCAACTAATGTTTAA